GAAAAGGTAGTTACCATAAAAAAAAAATAGAAAAATTTCCTTTTTTTTAAAGCAAGAGAAATTTAAGCTAGCACTTACAGTTCACTCCAGCAGTGCGTACCACAAACATCTAATAGATTCTGGATTTTATAGATTATATTTTTATGTCGAACCCATGGCTAAATTCCGAAAATCAAACAGTAGTGGAAATATATTTGTGGACGAGGAAAATAAACAGCTACGACTATCATAAGAAAAATCCCGAAATAAAAAAACATACTGGCGATTTGTAGAGTGACCTTGCAACACTGTTAATCTGTCATTGAATTTTAAACAAAAATAAACTTTTATTTCTTTTTTTGTTTCCTTTTCTTTTAAATTTATGATTACTACCTATGTTTTTTTCAAAACTTATGTTAATTGTCTTTAAATTATCAGAGGTACGCAATTATCCAGGGATGCAGTTGTCTGGGACGAAAATCTCCAGTAGGCAACTCCCCTAGGAAACACTGAACGATTAATTGCAATAATGAATCATCCCTTTTATTCACCAAACTTAGACATCAGAAACGTAAGATTAAATTATTTTGTAAACGAATTCCAAGAATGTTTTCAGCGATGGCACAATCATCTCAACAAATTCAAACGAAACTTTTTTTTTTTTTTTAGCTTATCACCCCAAGCAAGGCTGGAGCGGCATTATCACGCAAGGGGGTTACAGAGAGTGAGAGCAAGAGTAAAGAGGGGTGTTTGAGGAAAAGATGATGAGAAGGAACAGGATCAAGTTCAAGGAATTAGAAAATCTCGATTGACATTACATTTGAATATTTGAAGATATCAGGAAAGAAATTAAGAGGAAGGGAGTTTCACTGTTGGGAAGTGTAAGAGAAGAAGCTGTTGGAGTAGAAGAGACGGTTATATCTAACCGTTTCGACAGTGAACGGGTGGGACCGAGATGCCAACCTAGTAGCATGTTTAAATTCATGCAGTTTGCTTACCAGTGAAAGTGGCCGGGCAGTGCAGTTTTATGAGAGCAACTAACTGTACTGAGGGAGGGATTACAGTTTCTGATTAGTTTTCTGGCTAATTTATGTAGAGCGCTATCTATTCCTGATATAATAAGACTCATTGGAATAAGTGAAACAATTTTGCCAAGCATTGTAAATAATAATTTGATAATTGGTATTTATAATTACTTTTTTGTCAGCAATAATTAAGGTCATATATGCTGGAAATTAATTAAACTAATGTGATATAATAAAAAAAACTTGTTGACAATTCTTCTATAGACTATCAACTGTACTAAATGACAATTAAAAACTAAAACAAAAAAAATGTCTTTAGCATTTATGAAAAGGTTCATTGATAAAAAAATTCTTGTTCTTCAGATTTTATATATTTAATTTATTTATTCTTAGTATCCAAAGCAATGCGTCGATATATATATATATATATATATATATATATATATATATATATATATATATATATATATATATATATTGAGGCATTGCTTTGAATACTCAGGCTAAGAAGAGTCAGATATACGGAAATCTTATTCAGCAATTAGTGCTGTTATTATTATTATTATTATTATTATTATTATTATTATTATTATTATTATTCAGAAATTTATTAATAAAATGATAGTAGTAATGAAGACTATATTGATAAAAAAAATAAAACGGAATAAAATTAGTAATAAAAAAACAGTAATAATGAAAAGTGTATTGTCTCATTGTGTTGTAATAAAAAGCAACAATGAGAAGATGGTTTAAATCAGGGGTCGGCAACTTTTAATTATGTGCCGACTTAGAGTTTTAAAATCATTCAATGTGACAACAGTATACGTATTTTTATTCACGTCAAGGTCAATATACCTGTTCTACAATATATTTTATATAGTAATATAAAGTATATATACTTTAGTATATATTAAAATTGAAAGAGCTAAATATCTTCTTTGTGTTGTAGTAGTTATTGGTTCGGACTTCATAATGTCATTTGCGCCTGCGTACCACTGGAAATTGCTTGTCGTGGCACGCGTGCCAAAGTTTGTCGACCCCTGGTTTAAACTACGCACATCTATACAAAAGAAAAAAAAAAAAAACCCTGTTCGGTGGCAAAAGCTGCTGGTAGCACCAGAGGTGGCAGTACCACATTATCCTCCGAAACTATGTTACCTCCCCTGGTTGACGGTTGCAGGTAAAAAAAATAAGTACCGCCAAAAAAAAAAATAAAAAATATATAAAAAATCGATACCTAAATTTCAAAATGTATTGTAAAAAAAAAATTAGTTTTAATTTCAAGCCAACGTATTAAATATAATTCCTAATAAGCAAAATGTTCTGGTGTATTTAAAACCGAATTTAGACTGATTGCAATCTGTTTTCTCTTTGTACGTAAAATTAAATTCGTCCATGTTGGCAAATCTGTCAACACAAAATAATTCTAAATTTTTATAGCCTTTCAAAATTAAAATAGAGTTTTCTTAACGTTATTTGCGGAAAATTAGCTGATTTAAAGATTAATTGAACAGAATTGAATCAATTACTTACTTTTAACTTAAAATATAGTGTTAAATCATTTTAATATTAGGAGGAGTTGTTTTTTCTGGTGTGTTGAGGGATTTAATGACAGTCTGATGTTTAGACCTTTAAGTAAGGGTGACAGAAATGACAGAATGTTCTTGACAAATGCAACTTAAACGCCTTTACAAATATATATATATATATATATATATATATATATATATTAACCCAGTAATCTTAAAATCTAAGAAAATATTTTAAGTAATCTGATATTTTATTGGCTTTTATGTACTAGGAAGACGCATGTTGAGAAAATGTCAGAAATTTACAAATAGATTTTCAATTTACTATAGTTACCGATCTCATTTTCTGATAATGTCGAGTATGGACATCCGTATTTACAAAAATCGGCACGTTTACACACACACACACACACACACACACACACAAATCAAAATTCTTTTTAAAATGCTGAGGGCCGTTGAATTGTAATGGGCTTTCCTTTTCTGAATAGTAAACAAAATTTAAATTTAAGACCATTATCACTATCGCTACAAATCAATGTAAAATTTCAAAAAATTTAAAAGTTTACAAATTAGTTTATATTTTAAAATATATTAATAATTCTTGTAAAAATTCGTTACTTACTGAAAAAAATATTTCTCACGACAATATAGTCCATAATATAGTTTATTTATAAAAGCAATTAAAAGCATTTTTAATTAAAAAAAATGTTTTAGTTTTATTGCACTTTTTATTTTACGATTCAGGGCTTTTCTGAAGCTAGTGTTCCCATTTGAGAAAAATTGTTTATGATTCACTTCTCCAACGCCTTGTCCTTACAGCAATAATGAACAGTTTGCGATAAAAAAAAAAAAGAAACATTTCTCGGAATTTCATGAAATCTATGAAAACGTTAAAAAATATTTTTAGAATGGTTCTCTCAAAAGAAACGTTGGCAGACACTCCGTTTATTTCTGAATAAGTCCTGAAAGTTTTATTAAAATACGATTATTATCTAATTTTTTAAACAATTTCCAAATCCATTTGACTTTGACGCAAAAAATAAACGCTCAAATTTCCCGTACAAATTTAACGTCCCGCTTTGACGCAAAAAAAAAAAAAATATATATATTAATTAATAATAAAAAGAATAAAAAAAAAAATAAAATAAAATAAACAAGATTGTTTAAATAAACTTTCCTGGTTTCTATAAGGCAAAAAAAATATTATTTGTGCATTAAAAAATTCTTTAATCTTTCCTCTTAAAAATAACAACAAGATAATAGTTATAAGAAAGGGTGGATTGATCAATTATGTGCAATGCGTGATACATGATTACGCGATCATGCATCTTTCGATACATGACAGCGGAGGCAGATTTTTTTCCCGCAGTAGGTTGCCATTTCTTTCTGCGGCAGACCAGTTGCCATCCAAGGCTACAGAACCCGGTCTGTCCTGCTATTTAGCCATAGCTGGGGGAGAAGAGGATTCATACCTTTCCCAAGGGTATTAGCACGTAACGTAATGGATTCGACTGGAATTTGAACTCGGCTCACCGATTACGCAATCCGAGCCGCTATCCATTACTCAACCGTGCCTCCTCTCTTTCTCTCTCTTTTTATCTATCTATCTATCTATCTATCTATGAAGAAGAGTTTTTAGATGTGCTATATTTATGGGATAAATTGCTCAATATCAGAGATAGAGCGTATGTAAATATAAATCTAAAAGTCAACACTCAAAGGCGACAGGCTGTTTCATGCTGGATGCAATCGTCAGGCCGCCCTATCTATCTATCTATTATATCTATATATATATATATATATATATATATATATATATATATATATTCCATTTTTTGTCGCGTGAAATGTGGGGAACAGACATGACTTGGTTTCTGTGAGAAAATGAGAGAGAGTGAGAAAGAAAGGAAACTAGACGTGGACAGAAATGATCGGATTAAGCTGATAAGAACAGATACACTTTGATCTTAGCCGAAAGAAGCAATGGCGACCGCGAAAACCTGCCATTTTTCAGACCCAAAGTATCGAACAACTGAAAACATGTAAGGCAATCGCCAAAAATCCAATTACCATAAATAAAATAATATTGCTTGCTGAATTATTTTAAGATGATTATTAAGAGAAACTATCTTAAGATGGTGATTGGCTAATAATAATAATAATAATAATAATAATAATAATAATAATAGTAATAATATTTAATAATTATTATCATAATAATAATAATTATTATTATTATTAATAATAATAATAGTAATCTTTCCTCTTAAAAATAACAACAAAATAATAGTTATGAGAAAAGGCGTCTTGATACAGCGTACAAAAAGCAACATCACCAACAACATTAACAATAATCCTGTTATAAATATACTTGTCCGTACTTTCGATAGTTGGCACGACCGTTACGCCCTGCCAATATCTCATTTTGTCCGCGTGAAATGAGGGGAACAGACATGAGTTGGTTTCAGTGAGAAAATGAAAGAGAGAGAGAGAGAGAGAGAGAGAGAGAGAGAGAGAGAGAGAGAGAGAAAAGGAAGCTAGACGTGGACAGAAATGATCAGATTAAGCTGATAAGAACAGATACACTTTGATCTTAGCCGAAAGAAGCAATGGCGACCGCGAAAACCTGCCATTTTTCAGACCCAAAGTACCGGACAACGGAAAACAAGTAAGGCAATCGCCAAAAATGCAATTACCATAAATACAATAACATTGCCTGCTGAAGATGATTATTAAGAGAAAGTATCTTAAGATGGGGATTTGCTAATAATAATAATAATAACAGAGAAAGGCAACACATTTTTACTTAAATCTCCCCACACGCAGAGTTAATTTTGAAAGCACAGATGAACCATTTTTCGGTTAAATACAGAGATGTTTGAGTCAGGTCGTCGGCCCATATACAAAACACACAGATGTGACAAGCAGAAGAATTTGTTGAGGAAATTAAGAAGTGGGGAGGAAGGGAAACGGGGTGTGGGGTGTAGAAAAGGGGATAAGGGTAGATATGAGATCCGAGGGAGGGGTAGCACACGTGCTAATATTTTAATAATAGCGGGTGGTCCTCAAAATACACACACACACACATTTTTATTTCGTTTTCTTTCATTTCTCCTGGGGGAGATTAAAAGAAACACTACTGAAACCAACACACACACACACACACACACACACACACACACACACACACGTAAGCAAACACACACACACACGTAAGCAAACACACACACACACACGTAAGCAAACACACACACACACACACACACACACACACGTAAGCAAACACACATATTTATATACACAATTCAGTACAACATAATTCAAGTCAAATATGTAGATTTAGTGGAGTATTAGGGTGTGGTCGGGTAAGAGGGTTTCATCAGAAATGGAGAAGTTTTTTAACGCAGAGATGGGTGGGTAAGAATAGCAGGGAGGGGTTGTAATGGAATAAAAAAAAAAGGGTTGTGATATAATTAAATCGGCAAAAAAATCCATTCAATTATAATTAAAAATTTGATATTATAAAGCCCTACCCCATATATATATATATATATATATATATATATATATATATATATATATATATATATTAGAAAAAAGATGTCAAAATCGCTACACAATTGCAGTCGTGTTTCGATGCGTATCAATGCATCTCATCAGGCGATTGTAAATTACTGGAGACTGAACGATTTATTTAGAGGTAAAAGCGAAATACAACCTCTTTTTACGAAAAAAAAAGGAGGGTCTATAAGATTTAAGGGCTGCACTCGGGTCAACCAATCGAATATGACCTACGTTAAATTTAAACTATGGGAAGAAGCAAAAATTAAGAAATATTGCTCTACTTTGTATTGAGTCATCTTTTAAATTAAATGTTACGAACGTTGGCATTGTACTCTAATCGTTCTCATCTTACCTGGATATATATACGGCTTATATATATATATATATATATATATATATCTGCAAAGTGTTGATATAGTTTTTAGGTGTGCTGTGTGTGTGTGAAAAGTGTATATATATATATATATATATATATATATATATATATATATATAAAACTTTAAATAATCTGCAAAGTGTTGATAAGCCTTAGGAAACGAATCAATCAATAGTCGAATTTGTGTCAGTGAACCATTATTATTTCCCCTAAAAATTCTTACAATCTGCAAATATTTTCTGGCTTTAAATAACCTACAAAGGGTTGATAAGCCGTAAAAAACGAATCAATCAATCAATAGTCGAATTTGTGTCAGTGAACCATTATTATCTGCCCTAAAAATTCTTACAATGTAAAAATATTTTCTGGCTTTAAATAACATGCAAAGGGTTGCTAAGCCGTAAAAAACGAATCAAGCAATCAGTCTTCTGGTGTTCTGTCACACATAAGAAAATGTAAAATTTCAGTGCTTGGTGGACGAATTAGTCGATAAGTTAGACCTAAACCTAATTTTAAAATCATGTTTATATCGTCTTAGTTAAAATATAATATCATGCAAAGGGTGTATAGCAAAGGGCGTATAACAAAGGGTGTATAGCAAAGGGTGTATAGCAAAGGGCGTATAGCAAAGGGCGTATAGCAAAGGGTGTATAACAAAGGGTGTATAGCAAAGGGTGTATAGCAAAGGGCGTATAGCAAAGGGTGTATAACAAAGGGTGTATAGCAAAGGGCGTAGAGCAAAGGGTGTATAGCAAAAGGCGTAGAGCAAAGGGTGTATAGCAAAGGGTGTATAGCAAAGGGCGTATAGCAAAGGGTGTATAACAAAGGGTGTATAGCAAAGGGCGTAGAGCAAAGGGTGTATAGCAAAGGGTGTATAGCAAAGGGCGTATAGCAAAGGGTGTATAACAAAGGGTGTATAGCAAAGGGCGTAGAGCAAAGGGTGTATAGCAAAGGGCGTAGAGCAAAGGGTGTATAGCAAAGGGAGTAGAGCAAAGGGTGTAGAGCAAAGGGCACTAGTCTTGTAGTCACGCGGCTTAATGTATGCGTATTCCTTCGATCAATTAGCTTAATGAGCCACATAACTTAACTAATAATCCGAATGTTGAGGAATAGAGTACAATACAGAATTAGACCAGAAATGGAACAAAACCTGTTCTTTTGTCAAGCACACTGGAACAAGACATGAGATATCTATAAGCAGAATAACACCAGAGAGATCAATACAAAAGAAGAAGGAGGTATATATTTAGGTTTTATAGATTATGAAAAAGGATTTAATAAGGTAAAGTAAAAATATAATCTTAAGCTATTAGGAAAACTAGATCTACTTGGGAAGGATGTTATAATAATACATATCTTATAATGGGAACAAACTGCTTGCACACGGATAGAAAATGAATTATATATGTACAGAAAAACAGAATTAAAAACAGCCAAAAAATAAAAGCTACGAGCTGGAGATGCCAATACCAAACAAGCCCAGAAGTTTAATATCTAGAAAGTATATTAAAAGAGGTGGGAATATGTGACATCGAAACCCAACGGTGGATTAAAATAGCAAAAGATGCCTTCCGAAAGCTAAGCAAAGTATTAAGAAACAGGAAAAAAATGTTAGAAACAAAGAAAGTTTTGCTGATCTGCTATGTCACGTGAATCCTCCGACGTGTCAGTGAATGCTGAACAATTTCCTCGCATACGAAGAGAAGACCTGAGGCCACAAAACGTGGTTCTACAGCAGGATGCTGAGAATACCATGGATGGAACATGTGGGCAAGGAGAAAATCAGACCGAAAAGGCTGACATTTCTGGGACATATAACGAGAAAGGAGGTCTTGAAGAATTTGACACATACGAAGGTAAAAAGGAAATTGGACACATATCGAAGGCATAAAGAAACAGGAGAAGGTTGTGGTCCTCCTGCCTGACGAACTGATGACGGAACGGTGATATTTGTTTGCAATCATTTCACCCCAAGCAAGGCGATAATGCCTCTAGGGCGCTGGAGGTTACAGGGAGTGAACAAAGATGAGAGAACGTTATTGAAGAGAAGTGAGAAAAGATCAATCAAGAACAGGATTCCGGAAGACAGAGGATAGCGATTGACGTTGCATTTTTAATGTTTTAAGATTATAGGTGGCACGAAGCAAGAAGTCGAAAAGTAATTTCACAAGTGAGAAAAGAAACTGTTAGAATAGAAGAGACGGTTTTATCGAGATAGTTCAACAGTAAAACTGTGAGACCTAATTGCCAATCGAGTAGCACGTTTAAATTAATGCAGTCCAGTCACGACAGTGAAAAAAAAACTGATCGAAACAGTTACCTAAAAAGATTTCTAGAAATGAGAAACGGTTAGACAAATACTAAAACACAAACATTGCTAAGGTCTACAAAGGATAGAAATTTGTGGAGGGCCATGATCTCCCTTTTTTTTTTTACTGTTTTAGATTGTTTTGTAGAGTCTTTCTTTTTATACAGTCTTTCAGGATAGAAGTTAAACTCCTGCAAATTTGATGGCCCTGGGCCAGGCTAAGTTAAAATGAAAAAATATTTTAAGTGCGAATAGTCCCAAAATGTATAGCATAACTTCAGGATTAATTTTTTTTCTTTAGATGTTATTTTTTTTATTATTTTCTTAATTTTTGGGTGGTGACTGCGAAATTTGCGCCAAGTTCTCGTCGAAGCATTTGGAAATAAATTGCTCGTCTCTCTCCGTTAGATGACGAATGTTTAGCCGAGCGAATGGAGGTCAGTATTCCTAGCGACGAAAAGAGAAGGAACGAATGGCAAGGAGATTAACGTAGGCAGACTAGGGTGGGACTTTTGGCGAGTTTCGAGGTGGTGGTGATGGTGGTGTGGATAGGGAAACGAAATTTGGAAGAGGAAGAAGATGATGGAGTCGAAGAAGAAATTTGAAGAAAGAGTATAAGAAAAAGAAAATCCATGTAAAGACGATTAAAAAAGGAAAAGAAAAGAAAAAAAATGTCTGAAACGAAAGATTGAAGATTAAGACGTTTTCTTCTTTCCTGCACCTTTTCTATGCTTGTCGTCTGTTCTAATCCTAACGATGTATTTGACCTTGTTAGTCGAAATTTACATCTTACAAGATGGCGTCTTGAGTCGTCTGCTAACAACCAGATTTCTGGTAGCTGTAATAATTTTAGGTCAGTGAACTCATTTGGGGGTTAAGGTACTTTTTAGATTATCATAGTAAATGCTCCTGTTTTTCCGATACAAAATTACTGGATATTTAAAAAGAAATAAAAAATAAAAATAAAAACAAAATAAATAAAAAGTGAGAGAAAGGAAAAAGAAAACGGACGAAAGAAAAAAGAACGAAAAAAAAGAGGAAGAAAATGTAAACTGAAAGCAAGCAAAAACAAATGAGAGAGAAAAGAAAGAAATAATAAGCGAAAAAGAGAAGGAAGACATTTAGAAAGATAAAAATGAAATAAAGGAAAACAGTTAAGAAAGAAGAGACAATGAAGAAAGAAATTATAAGAAGGGGAAAAAAGATTAGAAAAAAAAACGGAAACTAAGCAAGTAAGAAAGAAAATGAAGCTCAGAAGAAGAAAAGTCACCAAAAGGAAGAAAATTACAGGAATAAATGGGAAGAATAATGAAAGAAGCTAGACAAGAAAGAGAAGAGAAAGAATGTGAATAAAGAAGAGAAAAATGTTTGGAGAAAGAAAGAAAGAAAGAAAGAAAGAAAGAAAGAAAGAAAGAAAGAAAGAAAGAAAGAAAGAAGATACGATTTAGAAAGAAAGAAAAACGATACTATTTAGAAAGAAAAAAGAAAGAAAAACGACATTATTTAGAAAGAAAGAAAGAAAGAAAGAAAGAAAGAAAGAAAGAAAGACGACACGATTTAGAAAGAAAGAAGATACGATTAAGAAAGAAAGAAAGATACGATTTAGAAAGAAAGAGAGAAAGAAAGGAAGAAAGAAAAAAGACGACATGATTTAGAAAGACAGAAAGGAAACGATACGATTTAGAAAGAAAGAGAGAAAGAAAGAAAGAAAGAAAGACGACATGATTTAGAAAGACAGAAAGGAAACGATACGATTTAGAAAGAAAAAAGAAAGAAAAACGATACTATTTAGAAAGAAAGAAAGAAAGAAATAAAGAAAGAAAGAAAGAAAGAAAGAAAGACGACACGATTTAGAAAGAAAGAAAGATACGATTTAGAAAGAGAGAAAGAAAGGAAGAAAGAAAAAAGACGACATGATTTAGAAAGACAGAAAGGAAACGATACGATTTAGAAAGAAAAAAGAAAGAAAAACGTCTCTTTTTAGAAAGAAATAAAGAAAAACGATACTATTTAGAAAGAAAGAAAGAAAGAAAGAAAGAAAGAAAGAAAGAAAGAAAAAAGAAAGAAAGGAAGAATGAAAGAAAGAAAGAAAGAAAGTGACATTCACGAATTTCTAAAGAAATATATAGAGTGGTAGAGAAAAAAGAAAAAGAAAGAAAGATCGAGGGAGAAATTCAAGGATTTACAAGGAAAGAGAAAGAAAGAGAATAAAGGAAAGAAAATGTTTCGAAAAGAAAGAAAGGAAAATTAAAATGAGGAAACGAGAAAGAAAGTGATGTAAAGATATGAGGGAGAGTGAGAGAGATAGCTTGGCAAGAGAAAATACAAGATTATCGAGCAGAATAATAGAATAAAGAAGAGGTAAAAGGAAAATGAGAAAAAGGAAAGTGAAGCAAAAGTAAAGAAAGAGACTAAGAAATGGAGAAGGAAAAAAATACGAGTACAAGAGAAATAAGAAAGGAGAAAGAATGAAAAAGATTTGCCGAACGAGAAAAAAAATAACGAAGAACGAAACGGGAAGGCGAAAGAAAGATTAAAAGAAGGAAAAGAAAGAAGAGAGATATTTAGAAGAGACAAGAAGAAAGACAGGAGAGAGACATACAGACAGAGTGCTTATAATAATAAGGTAAAATGAGAGAGGAAAAGAGCGTTGATATTAGGAAAAGATGGACACTTAACGAAGAAGAGAGAAAAAGAGCGAGAGAGACATTTGATGCGATTTGGTTGATGGCAGCAACAGTTATCTAGGTCCCACTTGTCCAGTGGTTGATACTTGAAGTCCAGTTAAAGACCCTGATTTTGAATTTTCGTTCCAGATGACACAGTACTGATAACAGACACGGAAAATAAATCACAAAACCTCCTACAGGAGGTACCGAAGGAGAGCGTGATGAAGGGACTACGCATCAACTACAAGAAGACAGAATGCATAGTCATCAGTAAAAGGGTGAACTCGAAAAGCGATTTACAGGTCGGGGACACTAAAATCAAGCATGTGCAGAAATTTAAATATCTGGGAAGTGTTTTGACAGAGGAGAAGACGCTAAAAATTGCGACGCTGAGATCCGAAGACGTAGTGGGATGTCTAAGGACGCATTCCAAAAGTTCGACAGAGTATTAGAAGACAGAAGCGAATAAATGACGAACACAAAACCGGGTTGAATTTTTTTCCTATTCTAAATTATCCGATACAAACGCCATTTAACATCAGATTAAAAGTTATTTTTGAGATCAGTTGCCATTTTTAATTCATCGAATCGATCAAACTTAGTATTAAACAAATAAATAAAGTAAATAAGCATAAACTATAAGAAGATAGAATGCATGATCATCAATAAAAGGATGAGCCCGAAATGGGATTTGCAGTTCAGGGACACTAAGATCAAGCTCTGGATAGTGATTTTCCAAGCGTAGCTTAGATGGTATTTATCAATCCACCCACGGGGATCGAATGTGGCACAAGGCCTTTTTAATGTGGGTATCTCTGAGCCCGTAGGCCCAGCCAAAAATAAATAACCATCCAAACCCGCCGAGGCGGGCCAGTTCCGTCAACCTCCCCCAACGAAACCCTACCCTTCGGCGGAGCTTCGTCCGGGTTCCTCTCTGCAAGCAGACAGTTCGACAGACACCCGACCCGGCAGCTCACAAAGCGCAGATACTACACTTTGATCCTAGCCATCGGGCCGAGCGTAGCTTAGATGTAGCACAAGGCCGAAAGTAGGGGGTACCCAGTGAGTATCGAACTCACTACTCAATCGTAATTTTTCTAGCGAGACAAGCTTGCTAGTCATACACCAACTTGAGGTGCCCTCAAGCTCTGGATAGACAACACAGAGGAAGCATTCTGGTGTGTATTATGTTCGTTAAATCATATTTACAGATATTTTTATCAATTTATGAATAAAGAAACTTGTTTTCGTAATTATTTATTTATGGTATAACTGCTCAGCAATCTTGGTATATTCGGGAAAGATATCAGAATAACTAAGAACCTATACTGGTAGGAAACAGCATGCATGCGCATAGGGCACGAGTTCAGTGAATATACAAAAATAGAAAGGGGCGTAAGGCAAGGATGCGTCTTCTCACCGGACCTATACAGCGAGGCAATCCTGAGAGAATTGGAAACCTTACTGGGACTTAGCATTGACAGCCACAATCTTAACAACATAAGATACGCAGATGACACAGTGTTGATAGCAGACACGGAAAAGAAATTACAAATCCTCCTACAGAAATTAGTGAAGGATTAGCGAGAAGAAGGGACTAAGCATAAACTGCAAGAAGACAGAATGCTTGGTTATCAGTAAAAGGATGAGCCCGAAAAGCGATTTGCAATCAGGGGACACTAGAATCAAGCAGAATTGGGAGTTTAAATATGTGGGAAACGTCTTGTCAGAGTACGGTAAAGTGCAACGCTGAGATACGCAATGGGATGGCTAAGGACGTATTCCAAAAGCTAGGCAGAGTATTACGAGACAGGAGGATTTCTTTAGTAAGAAATAAAAGAGTACTGAACTGCTACGTAATATCTGTCCTCCTTTACGTCAGCGAATATTGGACGGTTTCCTCAAAGATAAAGAAGAAACTTGAGGCAACGTAGATATGGTTCTACAGAAGGATGCTAAGGATATCATGGACCGAGCGTGTGAGCAACGATGAGGTTTTGGAGAGGATGCAAGCAAGGAGGGAGCTTATACTTAAAATAAGGAAGAGGCAGCTGAAATTTCTGGGACACATAATGAGAAAAAAGGGCTTGGAAAATCTGACACTCACAGGTCGAATAGAGCGAAAAAGAGACAAGGGAATGCAACGCGTGACATACATAGCGGGTTTGAACAAGTGGATGACTGGAGGAGGTGGCAGAGGGACGAATCTTATTGAGAGCTATAAGAGAAAGTGGGGGAGTGGAGAGCCATGATCGCTTACGTCCTGAAGGGACACGGCATATAAAAAGAAAAAGAATCAGTCTGGACTTCTCCCTTTCGAAATACACCATCTTCCCACAATCATATTCTCTTTGGCTTAGTATTGAGCCGTTCTTTGTTAAGCTTAGTTAATACCCAGATTTAGCAAGGAGGGGGGATAGATAGAGAAAAAGAAGGAACTGTAGAGAGAGAGAGAGAGGGGGGGAGAGAGGGGGTAGGAAGAAGAGGAGAAAGAGCTCCGGACCAAACAGACGGAAAAACGTGTTTTGGAATTATGCCATATTCGTCTCTGAGTGAAGAATTTAGATTTTAGGCGTTGGCCTCCAAGACTAGAAAAGTGATTCAGAGAAGGATATTCCTATTTCTGGAAATGAATTTCCAGCAATAGTCATGCTAGTCCCAGAAAATTTTTACGTATTTCTTTCATTTGGAGGAGATTATATACCATGGTAATGGTAATACTAACCGTTTCCTTATAAGGAAACATTTTATATTCATCGACCGAGCAGGCAATGCTAATCTCGTATGAAATTTATAAAATCCTTCCATCTAAACAATTTTTTAGAAAAAATAAGTTTCTTAATTTCATATATCCAAGTATCTCTTTATATTTCTGAGATGAGGTATTATGTACACTATTTACATTATTCGGAGTATTGTCCTCATCTTTGTCGCCATATTTATTACAAAGTTTCGGCCGTTGTACGCTCCAGCCTTCTTCAGGTGGTGGAAATGTCGAACCTTTCTTTCGCTCACTGGGTTGACTGTTCTAGTTCCACGTGCCATGTCTAATGGATGTCAGTTATCAGTTATCTCCTGTTAATTTCCCTCTCCAAGTTCTCTACAGTCTTTGTCAGTGGATCTAACTAACGCATCTATACACTGTGCCACTATTCTTTGGTTAGATCCAGTGACAGGACCCAAAGTGTATGAGTTCAATACCCAGTTAAGGCAGTAGAGAACTTGGAGAAGGGAATTAACAGGAGATAACTGATAACTGACATCCATTAAACATGGCACGTCGAACTAGAACATTCTACCCCAGTGAGCGAAATGAGGGGTTCAGTTCGACACTCCAAACACCTGAAGAAGGCCGGAGCGTACAACGGCCGAAACGTTGTAATAAATATAGCCAGTCATGGCTGTCAGACAATTTCTGCATCCACATCACCCCTTACATCTGGCTACCTAACTCTCCAGACTGCAACACCCTTGATTATTATGTGTGGGGTGCAGTTGAGCGAGAGACTAACAAAACTTGTAGTAACACCAAAGAGTACAGAAGGCAAGGCTTATAGTAGCATTCACCAACTTAAACAAGGAGACCACCCAGAAGAGTTGCAGGAGATTCCGAAGTCGTCTGGATGTCGTCGTTGTGGCAATTTTATTAAATAAATCTAATCTTTACAATTACAAGATATTTTTGTGTAAATATGGGTAAATATAATTGTTAAAATGAGTTGTCAGTGTTATTTTGATTTTTGCGTAATTCGTACGACAATTTATCCATCGCACCTTGTATACATACATATATATATATATATATATATATATATGTGTGTGTCTGTGTGTGTTCCCATACATTTAATACGTATTTCAAATATAACTAAGAGCAAATTTCCCATGACCGAATTTACTAAGGCCGAATTTTCAGAGTGACTATGTATAAGTTTTAAACAAACGTTTCCACGATGTTACATAGAACCTATATTCATATAAATTTACAATAAAGCGATTCGGTCATCAAAATATTTTACCCGGCTTTTTATTACCTTACGCAAAATCGTTGAAACTGTTAATAATATGGCAACAAAGATGAGGACAATAGTCCAAATAATGTAAATAGTGTACATAATACCTCATCTCAGAAATATAGACAGATACTGAAAGGCTGAAACGTTGTAATAAATATGGCGACAAAAATGACGACAATAGTCCGAATAATGTAAATAGTTTACATAATACCTCATCTCAGAAATATACACAGATACTGAAGGGCCGAAACGTTGTAATAAATATGGAGACAAAGATGAGGACAATAGTCCGAATAATGTAAATAATGTACATAATACCTCATCTCAGAAATATAGACAGATACTGAAAGGCCGAAACGTTGTGATAAATATTGCGACATTGATGAGGACAATAGTCCGAATAATGTAAATAATGTACATAATACCTCATCTCAGAAATATAGACAGATACTGAAAGGCCGAAACGTTGTGATAAATATTGCGACATTGATGAGGACAATAGTCCGAATAATGTAAATAATGTACATAATACCTCATCTCAGAAATATAGACAGATACTGAAAGGCCGAAACGTTGTGAAAATATGGCGACAAATATGAGGACAATAGTCCGAATAATGTAAATATACACATAATACTCATCTCAGAAATATAGACAGATACAGAAAGGCCGAAACGTTGTGATAAATATGGCGACATAGATGAGGACAATAGTCCGAATAATGTAAATAGTGTACATAATACATCTCAGAAATATAGACAGATACAGAAAGGCCGAAACGTTGTAATAAATATGGCGACAAATATGAGGACAATAGTCCGAATAATGTAAATAATGTACATAATACCTCATCTCAGAAATATAGACAAATACTGAAAGGCCGAAACGTTGTAATAAATATGGCGACAAATATGAGGGACAATAGTCCGAATAATGTAAATAATGTACATAATACCTCATCTCAGAAATATAGACAGATACTGAAAGGCCGAAACGTTGTAATAAATATGACAAATATGAGGACAATAGTCCGAATAATGTAAATAATGTACAAATACCTCATCTCAGAAATATAGACAGATACAAAGGCCGAAACGTTGTAATAAATATGGCGACAAATATGAGGACAATAGTCGAATAATGTAAATAATGTATAGACAAATACTGAAAGGCCGAAACGTTGTGATCTATGGCGACAAATATGAACAATATAATAATGTAAATAGTGTTAATCTCAGTTAGAAAGTTAACGTTGAGAAATACTATTTTCTTTACTCCCGAAAATTTTTTGGCGTTGTTTAATTTGACATTTCTCACAGTATTTCATTTATTTTTGTGAAATGACAGATAATGATTACTTTTAGATCGTTCTTATTTGTAATTTCCATTTATTGTTTAATCTTTTAATTTCATGGGTTGATCGAAAAACTGGCAGCTTAAGTTGACTAAAGCCAGACTTTTTTTACGCTAGGAACATGTTTGTGTCTTATTTCCCAATCTGGATATTCTCAAGCCTTGCAAAACCTGATGTAACATTCTCCCCAACATTGACTTTCCTTTCTTTTTTGGCTAATACTTGCGATATGAACGCAAAAGAAAATAGTTGTTTTTTCTGTCTTCGTTGTGAATGATATTGTTTTACCGATTACTAGAATGGTCTTCGTAAGGTCTAGAACATTAAAATCAATAAAAGAAAAACCTGATATATGGCGACAAATATCCAGGTAAACTTAGTTGTTGTAGCATACCTACGGACGATAATGGGTATGTCCCCATTCACATAAATACAAAAGTAAATACTGTATGTTGGTTAACACTATGTTACTGTGCTGGTCAAACTATCTGCCTCTGGGCAGAGAGAATCACCAGAAGAGGCTATGTCGAACGGCAGAGTATCGTCTCGTGAAACAGCTACCTGACCCCGTTTTATACGGGGTCTAGGGGGAAATTTTGTCCGAGACTACAGGCTCGGATACCCCCACATTAAATTCGGCTTTGTGCTACATTTGACCGCATAGGGCTGTTAGCAGATATCCTGCAGTTAAAGATTCATCTCCAGGTTGTGCTGGTCAAAGTATCTGCCTCCGGGCAGAGAGGATTCCCAGACGAAGCTATGTCGACGCACCGAGTCTCGTCTCGGGAAACAGTTACCCGACCCCATTTTATACGGTGTCTACGGGGAATTTTTGGCCGAGCCTACCGGCTCGGATACCCCACTCCTCCAATTAATTTCGGTCTTGTGCCACATCTGATCACGTAGAGCTGTTGGTAGATATCTTGCAGTTGAAGATTAATTGTGGAATTCTCTTCTCTTCTAGTAGTTGGCTACTACTTCTACGCGCCGCTGGCGAATCTTATATGCGTTGTTCTTGTTCTAAGTATTATCGTTCATTACCAAACTTCGTTTGATTATTATTTTCACTGACCTTCCCTAGGTTACAACACTAGTAATAGTAATATTCGTCGGCATCCGCCCGCATCACGATCGTCATCCTCTCTCATTACATATTTCACCCTGATGTCGGTGGCGTAGGTAGCCGTGAAAGCCTAGCCTAATCCTTAAAAGTTGTGAGCAGGAGTCTCAGAGGATAGTGGTTGGCGGGCCCTCCTGACAGCATGTCGCAGATCCTCTGCATGTTGACGGCTGGACACGAAGGTTTATGTCTCCCCTGGAATAGTTCTGTGCTAGGAAAGCGGATTTGCAGTAACGGTTTCCCAGGTCTCAGGCTCGATGTTGGCCTGGGTCAGGGATGTTTACAACTGATCATTTAAGCGTCGTTTTGGACCTCCGCGTATCCTCTTGACGCTGGCGAGCTCTCCAAACAGGATTATACGTGGGAGTTGATTGGGACGCATTTAGGACACGTGACACGCCCAGTAGAGGCGATGCTGAAAAATGATAATATTAACCGTTTCTTTATAAGGAAACATTCGGTATTCAGTGACCAATCAGCCAGTGCTATCGTCGGTTTAAATTTATAAAATATTTCTATTAAAACCATTTTTGTCAAGAAAATAGATTTCTCAAATTCAGTAACTGTCATCGCTCTTTCAAGTATTGATGGCGGTTTCCTTCCTAACCTTTAGTTCAAAGTAGTGTGGAACGTCAACGTCTTGATTACGCCATTGTTTTCTCTTCGCGTTACATGTGCTATCCATTTTAATTGTTGCTGCTTTTGAATGTCCTCAAGTGTTGTGGTTATATTATTTTGTATAGATTTGCTGATGATTATGTAACGCCAGTCCAGGGAGTTCGAATAAGGCTATTGTCTCTAAGACCTCCAGGTTTCATTCGTTCGAAGCCATTTTTAATTAATGGTCCGAGAAAGTGACTGTATACAGTTGACATTTTTCTGAACGATATGGGAGCACGAAAGGGTTGAAAATAATTCCTCGCTTCCAATGGC